CTGAATCACCCTCTGACAATACGCAACTACACACAACTTTACACAAACCAGGCTAACTTAGGAGCATACAAACACACACATGTAGCCTATACGGAGTTGCCAAAAAGTGGTTGAAAGAGAGCTCGTTCCCAGGACTCTGAAACAAATTCTTTCTTTAGACTTAAAATGCTGTTTCTCACGCTTCTGTCCAATGACAGAGTGTGACCATGAAGCAATAAGAACCACACAAAGTAGACAAAAATAGTCACGTAAAGAATATTTGATCACACTAAAAAGCATATGACAAAATGGGTAGTGAATCAGAGTGTAAAGTCATGATGATAAACAAGGCATATGAAGTAACATCACGAGTCCAGTTAGTAATTATATTTGTAGAAGGATAGGCAGAACTGTGATGTTAATAATATATTATTAACAGCTTCTATAATTCAGGGGTTAATCAATACATTATCACAGTACTTGTAGTAGAAATCATACAAAAGCATACAAATTTACATCATGGAGTATTGTGATCTTACCATAACAGCAGAGGAGACCCATCCCTTTACCTGTCCGACCCCAAAACCAGTACTTTCGTCGCCGTTTCATTGGAAATCCAGTCTTTTTGTATTTTCAAAAATACATCAATGTTGTATGTCCATTAAAAAATCACCTACCAGAGAGCACTCGTCCTAGAAAAGACCTCCTGCATACACCAGCCAGCCACTCCATCCTGCTGTCAATCACTGATAAGCCTGATAAATAGCATTTTGTTCTTGAAATACGCATTTGTGTACTATTTTCTGTCTTTCCTTCCTCTCTTTACTTCCTCTTTTTAGTGAAATGACCCCAGGTAGGAGGCTTTCCACTGCTCCAGACATCAAACAGCATTAAGAAACTTTAGTCATGCACCAACTCATTTCTGTAGTCTATATACCACAAGTGGGATGTCCTCCATTTCGCAAAGGCGTGAAAAAAAAAAAAAATTGCTTCATAGCTTGCCAAGGGATGGAGCAACGAATTTGGGTAAAGGGACTTGGTCTTGTATAGTTCCTTATTGGTGAGGTGAGGTGAAGTTTAGGTGGTGAGGTCTCAGAGTACATTGGCAGGAGAGGCTGTAACAATGCCAGTGATGCAGGGAAATGACCCAAGCAACAGAGAGCCACACCAGGCTACACAGACAGACAGGAAGCACAGGCTGGTGTTAGGGAGATAGAGAGTTTCCTGACTGGAACAACCAAGTGCAGGGAGTGGGATTTCTATGATTCATTGCTCTTTAATTGACAGTTTTAAAGGTGCATTGTGTAACTTTCCTGGTAGGGGATCTGCCACAAGCTTGTTTCTATGAGATATTAAAGCTTTGCCTGAAAGATTTCACAGTTTGGCATTAAAATCATCTATGTTGTTGTTGTGGTAATCAATTACAGGTGTTTTACTGCTCAAAAATACACTAAAAACATGCATTTCTCCGCAGATCTGACCTGTAACTTGACCTGGAGGCATTGCGGGCTTGCTACAGAATGGCATGAAGAAAATCAGACACTACCAGTCCAAGTTACAGGTCATATCTCTGGAGAGGCGACCCCACTCACGGTATGAGCATTTTTGAGCCCTAAAACACCCACAATAAATAAATGTTAGATTAGTCAGGTTAATGCCATACTTTGGAACTTTCCAGGTAACTACTACTACTGCTAGAGATGAGAAGAATACATAAAATCTCAGAAAATACTAAGAATTATTTTGCCATCATATTCCAATAATAAATAAATAAATAAATAAACAAACAAACACAAGATTGGGGCTATACAAGAATAATAGGCTCACACTAATTACCAGTAATAAAGTAGGATCTACCAACAACTTACACTATTATACAAAACCACAGTCTTCTAATCTTCACACCTTATTAAACCTTTGTGCGACACAGTGGTTAGAATCATCTTTACATGTCCTTGGGCTGTCAATAATACAATGTCTAATTTATCAGAGGGTGGAGTCAAGACTTTTTAATCATCGCCATAACCATAGGCAATTGAAAGAGCGTGCTATACCTTTATGTTAGTATTTCTGACACTCTACTGCCACCTACTGGAAAGCAACTGCACATCCAGGCTCACAAAGGCACAAATTATTGCACACAAAACGGATTTCCTGTTACTATTAGATCATAATAGCAGCTTTGCATACAGTTATTTTAGCAAACTAGCACCACACCCATATTCTTGTGCAAATATAAAATGTAAATAAACTACTGTCCCTGTCATTGTGCATGTACTAATAGGAGAAGTTTAGTGGTTGGAGATTCAGTCACATAGGACATAATAAATATTTGTAAAAATCTATATACTAGGGCTGTATGATTATGGAAAAAAACATTATCACGATTATTTTGGTCAATATTGAAATCGCAGTTATTCAAACAATTATTTTTTTGTTACACGATCCATTTATTCAGCATTTCTCTCTCTTAAAAACCCCAAAATAAAACACTTTGAAACTGATCATTTACGCCAAACATTCAAAAAATATACAAAAAATAAATATGGCCTACAAATATGTACCTAAGAGCAGTTTTGCAATGTATAAAACATAAAATGAATAAAATATACTTTGATCATGAAATAAGGCATAGAAAAACATAAATGTATCAAAAATAAACTATATATCCAGCTGTTCTACAATCTCTATATTTAAAAAAAATAAAATAAACTTAAACTGTTAAGCTTTACTCGTTTCAACTTGATTATATGAGTTTGAAGATCGCTTGACACACAAATTGAAACTGTAATAAAAATGTAATTAATTGCGCAGCCTTACTATATACTATAAACTAACTACATAACTTTGGAGACAATTTATCCTCACAAAAGTATAAGTTTTTAGTTTTTTTGCTGTATCCTTGTATCTTCAACTATAATGACAAGAATCTGACCCCCTCACAGTCTCTAATAGTGGCGTGTAAATGGCTGGGGCAGACAGAGGCCTCAGTTGTGACACAGTGGAGCGTGGTACAAAAACAGTAATTATGTGAAAAGTACAATTAACTCATGGTCTAGTCCACTGAGAGACAGAGCAGAGGACAACAGACTGAGGGGACATTATATCAGGACAATAACATCAGAAATCACAGCCTCACTGCTTCTGTCCTTGCAAAATAGTTTATAGTTTAATATAGTTAAACGTGAATTTGACTCATCTGAGCTTTTAGCCATGGTATATGTTATTACCTCATCAAAATCATATCGGAAGTTGTGTTTTGTTTCATTCACAGGATTGAGTAAGCCTTTATTATTAGTCTGTCTACATCTCCAAAGCTCAAAATGGTCTGTTCCACCTTATAATGTCATGTATAGTTTTCAAGTCAACAGCTACATTTTACCTTTTTTTTAGTGGAGACTGACAATCTGGGGCTGAAATCATCGAAATGATTCTAGTGAAGATGTATGGAGTTTAAAAACACAGTGGAGCACTCCCTGTATAACCACATCCACATGACATCACAAGGATTATAACATAAATCAGAAAACAGTGTAATACGGGCCCTTTAACGACTATTTCTACTCACAGCATAAGATCTTGTTTGATGGGTGTGTGGTAATCAGCAAGCAAATAATCTACAGTCACCATTTGTGTATAGTGGGTCAGTAAAGTTTTGTTTGCAATTACAATAACTCACTGCCTTACATGCATTGACTTGTATTTTGGGCAACTATGAGGCACAGAACACACCTTTTGCCATTGGGAAATTTCATTGTAAGGGCCCATATTACACTGTACTCTGATCTGTGTTATACTGTTGTTTCCTCATCACAAACACCTGGAGTTGTGTTTTAGTTTATTTACACATGTTTAACACACAAATCTTTCATATTTAGGCTTATAGGTTTTTCCCTCACTCGTCCACCTTATGATGTCATGTGGTAATACACGAAATGCCCCACTGTGTTTTTAAACATCATACACCTTCAATAGAATCATCTGAATAATTTCAGTCCAGAAGCTGCCAAACTAACTACAAATTAATTAATGACATCACTTGGTGGAACAGAACAGTTTGAACTTTGTGTGGATGAAACAAAACACAACTCTGAGTGTGTTTTTGATGAGATAACAACATTCTGACATGGCTTAAAGCTCACAAGAGTCAGTTTTGCTCATAGGACCTTTAAGGCCAGAATGTAAAGTGCTCATATAAGTCTGTGACAGTGTCCTTTCACTTTACCTCTATCCTGACAAGAACCTTATCACCTGGCCTCTGCTCTTGTGTCTGACACTGCAATTCAAATGTGTCACTTACGGTATTCCCTTGCCAAAGTCCACAGAATTACAGGATTCTGGGCAGGATTTTCCCGCATGTGCCTGGGTACAAGTTTGAACAAATTTAACAGTAAGATGGAAGATCGAGCAAAACATGTTTTTGGCTTCTAGTGACTTATGTAAATGCATGTTTTAGAAGTAGAAACATGCACATCTAGGTTGAGCTGCCACATGTACATAATGCATCTGTATTAATTTTACATTAATTTACTGTTATACTGTTGTACTGTGTCTTAGCTAAACTAACTAAATAAACAACAGAAACAAACAGAAAGTAGAACACTGCACTCTTCCAACAAAACTCCCCCTCCATGTGAGAAAAATGTGCCCCGCAGCTTAGTGATAGTGGGCCACAACATGCTGAAACGTGCCACTACACGGGGATTCATACTTGTTGAACTGCTTCTATAGAGGTAGAGTACATGTGGTGATGTGTAGGCAGGCGTGTGTGCGCCGTGCGCGCTGGACGTGGGATCAGAACACACCAATGTCACACAGACAGCAGACAAGTTTTATTAACCATGAAGTCATTGTCACTGGAGAAGTAATAACCCTACACAACAATATTCTGGGAAAAGCCAATTTATAGAAGAGGCTGGTGGTTAACACCTTAAAAAGTTCAAATATACGTTTTTGGTTTTTTTTTGCTTGTTTGTTTGAATTTTATTATTTCTTGTATTTTTTTTTCGTTTCTTACCCACCTGTCTCATCAGCCTCCTCACTCGACTCGTCCATACTTAGGGGTTTTCTTCGAAAGGCGACCCTGCTGAAGCCGTCCATTCTCCTGTGCAGCACTGACCGCTCCAGCATAGAGATTGTGCACAACAACAATCCTCCAAAAACATGGACCAGGTGCTGCGCGCCGTGCGTCCGACAGCAGTGCGCACGTGAGCCGAAGGCAGCGGTCCCTGGGGTGAAAACGTGGTCCCAGACACGAAAAATACACTCCCATACCACAAACAAATGCTGATAAAGTCTTACGAAGAGTTTATAACACTACGATAAACTGACATGGGTTTTGGCGCTGTTCGGGCGTGGGGATTCGGGGAAGAATTGTGTGGAGTTTGCCGAAGCCCCGCCCAGTTTCTCTGCGCTCTAAATCTCTGCTTCTCACATATTCTCCAATAAACCATAGGTACGTGAGAAATACTTTTCAGTGATGATAATTATTACGGTGGTGTAACTTGTCCTCTTATTTTAATGAGCATATATTTGCCTACTATTCTACCAGCCAACCAGATTAACTCATGCTAACTAGCAAACATAAATCTGCAATAAAAAAATAAAAAAATAAAAATGAATAAATAAAAATAGAGGTCTACTCTGGTACTTTTTGTTTTAATCTGTTGGTTAATTACATTTTCTTTAAAACAAAAGACAAATTAACAGAACAGTGCAGACGTTGCAATGTTTTTTTGTCATAATAAAGTCCAGTAATAATGTTTTAATGCTCTGTTCAGTAGAAATATTATTGTTTATTTATTTTACCTGATCAAAGCTTTTTCACGTTCATTCTTCATATAAGTAGCCCAGTCCATAATGCTATAGAGAAGATAATAAAGTCAGAAGTTCAAGGAAAAGTCTTTTATTAACTATAACACTGGCCACGGGTAAACTGAAGGGCACTCAGTGAGACTCATCTCGGCCTGTTCCTCCCAGACTCTCTGTTTAATCAGTGCTTCATTTGTGCAAACAAATCATAAAAGTCCTGTGTGGGAACAGGAAATACTCACTGTATCATTCAGAAATTGCAGAAAAAACATTCTAATCAGCCATAGGACACTACACACAGATGACAGACAGTCACCAGTACAAACAGTACAACACTGATCTGGCTTTTGGTTGAAGATTAAATGGTTTGTGCAATTAGGAAAACTAAATTTATTTAACTGGTATGAGGACTTACATAGGTTATGTTACAAATATTGAGCAAATTACATCCATCTTAATCTAGAAGAAGCTTCCTGTTTATTTGGTCTGAACGTGGGTAGTGTATTGCTGTTATAAGAGATGCATTGTGCTTGGAAATATTGCAATCTGTTCTGGACTTTCTGTTAAAAACACAAATTTACAATTTTAGTTAATTACACATATGATTAATTAATTAAATGTATTACTGTAAATCAGGAGTTAGTGAAAGACATAAGCACAATGAGAAAGGTTTAGATCTGAACTTAACACAAAGTACAGTGCACTCAGCCATGAACTCTCAAGGTCAGTTTACCTCTTGGCCACTTAAAACCTGTGCAAAAAAAGGCATACATAAACATAAACATAAATATTACAAAAAAGAAGATATAAAACTTGAAACATGGAACCATAAAAAATTCAAAGATTAAAAACCTTTAATTAGGCCTGTCACAATAACACATTTTGATGAGTGACGTCTCGAAAATATGCTGATGAACATAAATATAGAAATGACTTTATGCCACTGACAGTAAACCTTTGAACCAATTCAAAAACAAACATAAGCTGTCGTAAATACAGATCCCAATGAAACACTTTAAGAAGTTTGATGATACTGACTCAGAAATGATCCAATCCTCTACTGTGCATATGTTATTGTACTGCAAAAATATACCGTACACTTCCAAGTTACTGCAAAGAAAAGGCACACATCATAAATATTAAGTCCAAAAAGTATTGTTCCATCTGAAATTAGTTCCAGTTGAAATAGTAATTATCATGACAGGCCTTATTTAGGATGCTTAAATTGTTGATGTACAGTTAACCAATATTAGGATTAAAATGTAATGCTATTGTTTGGTTAGGCAAGGCAAGAACACCAATTCTTTCATTAAAGTCAAAACCTTAAATTTTTTATTTATTTTTTTATTTATTTATTTTTTGCTGCGTGGTTTAAAAGACGTTACACATCTTTTTTTATGAAATATTGCAACAACTTTGCCAAGTGATGCTTATAAATATCAGTAAAAAAAACAAACAACCAAGTGAATCAATTAAATAAATAGTTTCAAATAAGAACAATTGTCACAGGCTTTTACACTGCAGCTCAGTTATTCAGTAGGACGACATCAGTGAGAAGATGGTCCTGCGCCTCTTCTGTGACCCTGGTAACACAGAGGGGGGACAGGGGCTGTGGGTTTGTCTCTGAGCAGGTCAGGTCCCAGGCGGCTGGTGGAGCTGGTGGGACAGGCAGTTACGAGGGTCACACACAGAGAGGGCAACACTGTGTCCAGACCGGGCTGAGAGCTGCTCGGAGGCATCTGGGGCAGATCTACGACTGAAATGACAAAGTCAAAAGAGATTAGTCAGATAAATGTTCAAAATGTGAATACAAACTAAAGATGACATATGTGCACTGCATATGGCATCATTTCAGTAACAGAAAAGGAAACAGAACAACATGAAGTTCACTAGAACAGGTGACAGTAGCTTAGGAGGCAGAGCTGGTGGATTGACTTGTAACAAGAAGGCAGGGGTTTGAATCTGACGGCCTGCATGCATACTGCCATTGTGTCCTTGAGCACTTCGTCCAGTGGCTCCAGTATCTCTGGAGGCTGGTGTATGAATAAGTATTAAGCTAATCAGTGTCACTGTTTCACAGTGGTTTGAGTTCCTAGATGTATAAACTATTAATGAATTTCCCCCAAAGCTATAACTGGAAACTGCTGTGAAACTGTGGCCATACCGGCTTGTCAAAGCCTGATCTCATCTGATCTCAGAAGCTAAGCAAAGCCGGGCCTGGTTAGTACGTCTGAAAGCACTGGAAAAATCAAGTGCCACAGTGGGGTGCCAGCAGCAAAAACTGTTGTTGTGTCCTTAGGCAAGACACTTCACCCACATTTCCAAGTATGAAAGTGGTGTGTGCATGATTGGAGAGGCTGATGTTGCAGACTGGCAGTCTCGCTTCTGTCAGTCTGCTGCAGGGCAGCTGTGGCTACAATAATAGCCTACCACACTATTATTACACTACGGTGTATTCAGATATACCGACCCTCACAGTATATCAGATACCATTTCTTCATCTACATTTAAGTGTATTATATCACTAACTAATGCACCATGCAAAGCTGTGCATGCAAACCTAGGCAGTGTTTAACTTGTGCCACTTGTTAGTGCACTGCAGACTGCAATATAAAAGTACATGCAGAAAGTGTGCCACATTCATTGCGACGTGTTATTACGGGTCAATCAAGTTGCTGCAAGTTAGTGATGAAACTAAAGATAGACTGAAACTACAGCTACCAGCAGCCTTCAGCTGGTTACCTGCGGGCAAGAGAGGGCCTCCCTCGCCTTAGTGGTTGGGAGAATGGCGATACTGAGGCAGCAGGCTGCTGACAATCTACAAAAAACTGATAAATTAGACAAATATACAGTGGTGACGTTCAGGGTTAGACAAGGGACCCACAAGAAACAAGGGTACAACAGGAAGGACCATGTGAGAGTATCTGAGTGTAAATACACTAAAGTCTAGCCCGCCACTTCATTATGTGTGTATTCAAAAACTCTTCCAGGGTTGTTAAAATTCATTATTATGTAACTTTTAGTAAGAATGCTTATGTGTGTGCAAACATATGTTACATACAACAAGGAAAAGCAGCTTCACAAAGAGACAGTCGACACAACAGTCAGCAAAAACACAACACAAAGCAACTGACAGACAGACAGACACTGACACAAAAGCAAGTTCACCAATTCAATGTATTGTTTGTTTGTTTTTTACACAAAATACAGAGCATATTGGCAAAAGATAATTAAATATTGAACCCCATTCTGTTCATCTACATAGTCTATTTTCCTATACCCCTTCAAACCCACCCATACATTTTAGAAATATAAACCCTGATAACCATAGTATAGTAAGCACCCACTTATTATTTCATGGAATGGAATAAAATAAACTACAGAAGCAGCGTTTGACAGGTCATTTATTACAGGTGTTTAAATAGTAGAGTAGAGTATGCCACCTGGTGGTCAAGTTGGGGACTGGTCTTTTTTTGGGGCCAGTTTAAGCCCCTTAATTGAAGTTGGAGTTACAGGAATGACGCTAACAACTTTTTAAAATCTGTTGTCCAACGTTATTATGAAGTTTAGTTTTCAACCTGTCAAAAGCCAAATGTCAGTGCTTCAAAACTAAACAGCATGCACTGTTAATTTATAGTATGATGTATTAGGTAAGGTTATGGTTCAAATACAATTAATATAAAAATTAATTCCTGTTTGTATTGTGTAATATGTATAACATTTGCATGCCAATAAATACCAATGAGACACATACAAGAGTCAGCCACTAGGGGGCACTGTGTATCACGGAACACAGTGTCTCTGCAGAACACTGCACATTCAGTTTCTGTTGATTATTATGTCAGATTTAAATATTGGCACTTATGTTTATTGGAATCATACTTTCCCACTACTACAGGTTTCAACCAGTATTGTATTTCTGCAAACCTGTTTTTCTTCACCTCCCTGCATTTTTCCTAATTCCAACACTGCATAAGTAGAGCCAAAAAGCTACCTTCTTTTTGCATTATAAGTCATCTCTTTCATCTTTTTGCATTATAAGTCATCTCTTTCGGGGAAGGTGAGGAGACACTGAGGTGGAGTTACAGGGGCTACATCTTGGAGATCGTTGGCCTGTATCCTGCCTTGAGTAAACCTTTCTTTGAATCTCTACTGTCAGCCAGTCTGGGTTTATCACTACAGGCTCTATGTCCACACTAACAGTGGAGAGGTCTGGTTTGGACCCATCTGAACCTGAGGTCTGGTAGAGAGGGTTGGAGGTCCAAGCAGGCGTGTTTGGATAAGCTGGTTCTACAGAGGTAGGTAGGTTGAGGGTGCTGAGGACACACAGACTGTGGAATCGGGTGGGGCTGGGGGGAGCTGTGCGGGCAGCTCTGCCACTTACTTTAGGAGGACTGCTTTTAATCTTGGGCACTTTAGCGCCACGGCCTCGATGTGTCTGCTCGTGGTCAAATTCTAGATCTTCCAGACGTTGTGTTAGAGCCAGTTTCTGCTGGATCGCCATTCGCAGAAGAGAGTTCAGTGTCTTTTTCTCATCTTCTGCAGCTGCCAGCTGCCTCTGCATCTCATCCAACTGGGTAACATACTCATCACATCTATAAGACAAATTAGATAAAAGTTTAACTCAACACTGTCAGATAAAAGATCGCTCTGATATGATCTGTTGTATTGTCTTTGAGTGTTTAGAAAAGCACGATGTAATTAACATGAATCATTATTGTGTTACCTGGTAGCAAACATAGCTCTGAGAGATGAGAATGTTGCTGCATCTTCTTTCAAAGCCTTCAGCTCATTCCGCAGCTTCATCATGGTCTCTGTTACCATTGCCTTCTCATTTTCATATTTGCTCTTCAAATTGGCCAGAGCAACCTCTGCAGTCTGAAACATAGATTATAAATAATATTATTATTTACATTGCATCATGTTTACCTGCAAGATTAATCATAAGCATTAGTGCCGTCACAGGAATAAAAAAAAAATTACCTGCTTATTGGCCTTCAGCACCAGCCTCAGGGTAGCTATCTGTTCCCTCTTAGTGCTCAGCAGAGACTTCAGCTTGAGGATCTCCTCCATACAGGACTCTTTGTCCTTGTCAAGAATAGGGGCCAGTTCTCTGGCAGCAGCCCTCTGCCGGGACAGCTGCAGGGAGCGGTCCACAGCCCTCTGCAGGTGCTTAATCTGATCTCTGATGATCGCATTGAGGTTGTAAATATTCATGGGCTCTTTGCGTAGGTCCCCTGCCTCTGAGGGTACAGGGGATGAACATGAGGACAGACTGCTGGCTGTGCGGGTTGGGCTCCCATGATATGCTGGAGAGTCTACCCCAGAGGTAGACTCACTGTGGCTGGTGTCTTTAGATGGGGAGTCCATGGGGCTGCGCTGAGGGTCAGAGGAGCAGGCAGCAGAGATGGCAGCCAGGCGTCGGGCCAGGCGGGGGGACAGTAAAGCCCGGGGGTCATCTGAGCCTTTGAGACTGCCACCGCGAGTGACACGGCTCTGCCTGTAGTAGTCCAGCATGACACGGTTTGGAGTCTCATTGTTGCATAGACACACATGATGATAGAGCTGAGCCAGCTCCTCACTGAAGGTCACCAACTCATCCTGGGCTGTGTTCAGCACACTCTGGCTCTCTACTGTGGCTGATGAGGCCGCTCGGAGCTCTGCTTCCAGTGTAATGACCCTCTCCTTGGCCTCACGACACACACGCTCCAGGTTAGTGACCTGAAAGGACACATGTATTAGATCACATACTCAGTGTGATATTTAGTGTAATTCCACCTGACAAGTACCTGCTCAGAGAGAGTTTGGACCCTGTCATCAGAGGGGATCTCCCCTTGGCCCTCCACTGCCTGGTTGTACTTCTCCTTTAGCACCTTGAGCTCCGCCTTCAGGTCGATGACCTCGGTCACTGCCACTTTATACTTGCACTCCAGCATCTCCAGGCCATGAATGTCAGCGTCATGACTGTTGGCTGGAGGGGACAGACCACCGTCTGGTTTCTCACTCTCTTGGGGGTCTGCCAGCTCTTTGTCTCCATTGAGCTGCCTCATTGCATTGACATGCTCTGTGAGGCGGTGCACCCTCTCGTTCTGCTCGCTCAGGGCGCCCTGTGTGTGCTCCAGCTGCACCTGGGACTCTTGTAGAGTACGGAGGAGAGTGGCTTTCTCACGCTCCACCTAATGTGACGAAACACAACCAAATCAATAAAAACATATATGCTAGCCTGAATCATGATTTTTCACCACTTCCAATAGCTAAAAGGTCTACTTGGTAATTTTTCTGATGGTGCATCCAGTTCCTGCTTTTTAAGTACAAAACACAACAATGTGATATAGAGCCACTTTCAACCAACTATTAATGTTACAAAGCAATATCAACTCCCTAGAGAACAGAAGGTGGCAAAACCTCCACTAAAAGGTTACTTCATGCACTTTTAAGTTGTACTCTGTGTAACTTCTACACACAGAATAAAAAAATAAAAAGTCAGGTGAAACCAGTGACGTTATAATACTGTTACGGACCGTATGTTTCCCAAAAGAATCAGCTCTTAAATCAATTAGATAATAATTCTATTCACAGTTGCTCTGCTAACACAAGGCCACTAAGTTATTGTCTATTTATTATTCCTAGTGGAATATAGCCTATGTAAAGATCCAGAGCTACTACTTCATCATACTTTTCACTTTTTCACAGTTTACAATTTGTGCTTGTGTTATCATGAGAGTTACGTTAATCTTAAACCTGATCAAATCACCACTGAGGAGCTCAGTCTCACCTGCAGCAGCTGCTGCTTGAGCTTCTGCATCTCAGACATGTTGAGCTCGCTGAACAGATCTGGCACAGGGTGCAGGCTGTCCCCCTTTCTCCCTGGACGATACTCTCCATTTATTTTAGCCAATCCTGCTCCAGTGTGAAGGTGCCCATTACGCCTGTTGCAGTCCTCATTGTTCCCGTTGGAGCTGGAGGGCTGGTTACTGCTCGTGCTGTTGGTTTCTTCACTGAACTTGAGGCCCTCGACCCCAGTGACAGTGAGCGCCAGGTGTGCCCCTGCTCCATACACACTGTCGCTCAGGCTGAGGTGGTGCGAAAGCTCTTTCCGCAGGTTGTTCTTCTGTTCTCTCTCGTTCTTTAAGGCGTCCAGTGCCTCCTCCAAGTGGCCCTGGGAAATGTCCTTCAGACGAAGAGCATCCTCCAGCTGACTGTTCAGAAGAACAGTCTCCTCCTCCAGAACTTTGATTTCATGTTTTAACCCTTCATACTCCACCTATAGAAAATAAACAGATGTTGTTTGGCTCACCTTTGGAAAGAATTACAAATATTCATTCATTTTGTTCTACATATGTAACACAATGGTGTATGATAGCCACAATACAAGAAAGGATACAACACTACATAACATGAAAGGTATATAATCAAACTAGATTAAAGAGAGTACAGTATATAGATCAGAGGCAGCTAATGAGTTTGATCACTGCCCCGGGGCACTAGAGTTCTGTTCTTTAGGATGCCACAGCATCACTGAGGTACCTGTAGTACTTTACACTGACCTGGCTCTGCTTGAGCGTTGAGACCAATTTCTGCAGCGTGATGTTCTCCTCCTCCAGCTCAGTGTAGTCTTGGAGCAGCCGAGTCTCTCTGAACTTGTACTCTTTGATTTCTTCTTTCATTCTGCTTCTCTGTAACTCCAGAGTCTCATTGGCCTGTGACAAACAGTATTCAGAGCCTTTTCAACCCATAACATAGTATAGCATGTCCAGTTTTTCATTTATAGATATGATGCTAAGTTTGTGAATGAGTCAGCAACTTTCTCTTCCCAGAATAATTTTAAAAAGTCCATAGGAGAGTCAGGAGAAGTGTCAATGCGAGAACCAAAGTCATTAATCCTCCTATAGTTGGCACACATAGTCAGCAAAATCAATGATGTACTAGCAACTACTGTATTAATGCTAGGTTCTCCTAAAATAGGCCCTGATAAAATGCACATCTTTGCATTATTTGCCTTAATCCCCATGTGTCTCTGAGGCTTGTTGAAAATAGAACTGGATCACTGGTGATGTTGCTAATGCTAAAAATGTCATTACTAAAAAAAAAGCCAAGTTCAAAAGCAGTGTTTTGCCCTGTAGACTGTGCTCCATAGAATACCTATGTCCCTGTATCACGTAACTCGAACCTGTGTCCCTGTATCACATAAGTCAAACCTGTGTCCCTGTATCACATAAGTCAAACCTGTGTCCCTGTATCACATAAGTCAAACCTGTGTCGGGTATTTGGTCTTATATTTGCATGTTACTCTGAATCAAAGAACAATACTGTGTGTTTATGTGTGTGCTGGTTTTACTGCAGAGCTGCCTGCAGCATCCCTGCAGCTCACTACACATGGCAGAAGTGCTGACCCACAGTCAGTGTCAGGAAGGTGCTGCACATATTCTCAGACTAAAGCTCCACTTCTCTTTGTTACAGGAATGACATTGGCTGTACTTCAAAAACTAAGTTAGAAATACACAATGAAAGACCATTTATATGATGTAAAAAGCAATGAACACTACTGCAGTAACAGATGTATGCAGTGAATTACATATTCCCGAGACCATGGGGTATTTTGCAAGAACAAAATGCTCATGTTTAGAGGACAGTGAACAGTGATTCGATGCTGAGATGAAAGGTTAGGTCAGGGATAGAGCATTACTCAACACTGGCAGGCCACCACAGAGCACCCCAGGTTCAAAGCTCATTTGCTTTTAACAAGAGAATTGTGCTACTTCTGCACATAAAAAACACATTCCTTATTAATAATAACAATAATAATAAGAATGCATCAGTTTAATATAGTACTTTCCTACACACTCAAAGACACTTTACAGAGAATTATTCATTCACCTTATACCTGTTGGCAGTAAGCTACTGCCAGTCTGCACCATCGGCCCTCTGACCACCACCATCACTCACACACCACTTTTATACTAGGCAATGTGAGTGAAGTGCGTTGCCTCAGGACACAACAACAGATTTTGCGACTGGAGCCCCACTATGGCACCTGATTTTCCCAGTGGTCTCTCATCCAAGCACCGACCAGGCCCAGACTTCTGAGATCTGACAGGATCAGGCTTTGACAAGACAATACGGCCAGAATGATGAATGTGAATATTAGATGTATACAAAAGTTACATAAAATCAATTTGTGTATTTGATTGTTGTAACAACTGTTGGTGTGTTTGAATGTGGATCTGATGCATTATCTAGGAACATAGAAATAGTGAATGAAGAATATTAACATCTTTTGAATGTTGGGTTTTACATTTTTCTATTTTTTCCTACTGGAGCAGTCCAAAGCTAACATTACTATTGTTGCTGCATATTGGACAGGACAGATGCAATAACTGATCAGAATTGATTGTTATGATTGACAGTGTGTACTACTTTGTGCTTTGAGCCTGTATATGTGTTGACCCTGACGCCTCCCTCTGCTCCTCCACATGTGCCGAGCTCAGGGCATTTCTCTCAGGCCTGAGCTTAGAGCTGGATTTGGCCTCTACAATGGGGTCTGACCCGGGCCTGACCTCTGCTGCTGTACTGGGGCACACATGAGTGAGCTACAGTGCACTCATGTAATGTAGAGCCTGACCTATTTGTGTCAATCAACAACAATTTACACTACTGACTTCAACATACAGTGCAGTGAGAAAAGTTCTCCTGTCCAGCAATGCTCAGCTGGTATTTTAAACAGGGTCGTCTAAACTATGGCAACATGTGGCCTTCAAATCATTTTTTGCTGGCCCTCAGGCTTTGTGCTAAATTGCCCCAACTAACTAATAGTAGTGTTTTTTTGTTTGTTTGTTTTTTTTACTGCAAATGATGCTATCATAAGCTAAATACAGATCTAACATGTTCTAATGTTTCAGGCCTTATTAGTGTGGTGGCTCAGTCAAAAGTAACATTTTAAATAGTTTACTGCATTGTCCTGTAGTCTGTCGGCCTCCTCTCCATATATGTTTCAGATCAATACAGTTTGACTCACCTCTCGTAGCTCCTGTGCTAGACCTGGTGAGCCTCTCGGTCTCGGCCTGGGCGTTGGAAGCCACAGAGCGGCTCAGGGTCAGCTCTGTCTGCAGCTCCAGCAGGCGGCCCATGTAATAGGCCTCTTTGGATGCAGATTCCAGCAGCAGCGTCTCCTCATTGCTCTCTCCGTCCTCTGCCACCTTACGCTGGTTTGTGTAGGCCAGTCCGAAGGCCTGTGGAGATACCAAGAACACAGAGTCAATTTAGAAAAAAACTAACAAAAATATGCAAATGATTGGAGCAAGAAATGTTGTGATGATTCAGATGTGACTGAAGGTACAGCCCATGTGTTGAAGAAGATAAACATGGTGTCTACATCTAACTCTGCTTTGTAAGTGTATCAGTGATCACGAGTGGAACATTGGCAATGCAGCAGGTGCAGCGGCGGTCCCATAAGGATACCTCTGGAGGCTGAGGTTTCAGGAGATCAATAGAAACACTGTTCCTATTTCCTGACACAGGTTTTCACAGAGCTGACTTGTCATGATAATGAGGCCATGACTCTGATTAAAGAAATCAAGTTAACAACATAACAATACTGTCTTACAAACAAAGTCAGACTGGTTTTAAGGTCCTATATTATGCAGAAATTTGCTATAAACCATGTTAGACTGTTGTTACCTCATCGAAAACATACCTGGAGTTGTGTTTTGTTTCATTTACACATGGTTGAGTAACCCTTTATTATGTCTACATCTCCAAAGCTCAAAATTTAACAGCCAGCTTTTATCATTAGTTCAGTAAATATTAGCAATTCCAAAATACAGGGCAGCACTTCCTGTATTACCACATGACATCACAAGGTGGTGTTTTCCCTTTGTGAGAATAACTAAAATGTGCGAGTTAAAAAAATACAACTCCAGGTATGTTTTTGATGAAGAAACAATATTATAACCAGAAAGCCCACCCAGATCTCAGGAAAACATATGTGGAAAAGTATGCAAGCCCTTTATTATAAATTATACCATGCAAAAGTTCTACTTGTTGATTAGTGACTTGCTTGAATTGCAATGACGTGATGGTATGGTAACTGCTTCTACCATACATTTTACAATCACTGTTTTATAACATCTTTCTTAACTATAAAACAACAGTATTTTTCCTCAAGAGAGTCATTGGTCAGGTATAGGAGAAGGATGTGGGGTTGCCAATGAAATATTTTACTTGAATTCTTGGGATTATGATATTAATAGTTCACACCAAAATCTTGTCAAGGTATTTTAAAAGCAAAAAAAGTGTCTCTCCAATATATCGCAATAAATATCGTACCGAGAGATTTGGATATCGTTTCATCCCTAGTACATAACCAGACGAAACGATGCAAGAAAGGACACTAAAGCACCATAAAACTATTCAAGTGTCCCAACACATCTCGTACAGTCCTCGCTCGCTCCAATACACCGTTACACACTCCCATTCCCCATCCAACACATTTATTGACTGGGACTTTTTGCTTTCCATTGAATTGCAAACGTAGCACTAAGCATATGGAGCTATATCAACCCCAATACATTAACAATAAACCATTGGAGCATGAAAACTACCATTGACTTTGTGTTGTGTTTTCTGCTTTCCCCTCTGAGTCGTCCTCTCTCTTTGTCCATCCACTATAGAGTTCATCTTGCGCCGCGCTGGCCCCGTTACCCGCCCACTCTCCAGGGGCTCGGTCTTAATTGTAGTGAGCGATTAAAAGGGAGGGCCTCTAGAATAAAAGTGGTGATTAATGAACACGCTATGTGGGCTACGAGTAACTGCTTCTGCTGCCAGCATCTCCACAGTCTTTTTGTACACAACCAAGGCCGAACACAGACATTTGGCTCCAATGTGACATTAACTCAAATTATGTGACAGTGAAATGAATACAAATCATCCCACACTGATTACACAATATAAAAGCCTTATAGTTGGCAAGACAAAAAGGTTGTCCAAAAATCAATACCCATATACGAATTGATACTAAAATTAGATACACCCACTCAGGACTAGGACAATTTTGGATATATGTATTATTACAACTAAAATTGTATCAAAAAAACTACTGTTCATTTGTGTTGCAACAAAAGTGTATTTTTTATGATTACTGTGAAGTCAATTGTTATTTATTTCTGTTTGCAATTGATTAATAATTATGCCTGAACTGAAATGTACTGATTTGAAATTTTTAGTACCATCGGTATTGATGTATTGTCTGGAAAATGGAAAAGGGGGCAGATAACATAAGATTAAACTCTTCTTTCTGCTCCTTTTCATTCATTTCTTGTATGTTTGATGTTGTGACACTGTTGATGCTTTTTTATACTATATGAATTAAGTAAATAAACAAATAATACTTACTACTGAGTCTGTTTCTTCTAATTAAAGTTGTGTTTAAAAAAAAATACTACAAGACAAACATTTTCTGTTTTGTGTTGCTGCTCTCACTGCATGAAATCCAGTGATATGAAGCTAAAGTTTTGAAGCAAGATGGCAAAATAATGTTACAAAAATAGCCTGTCAGAAAGAAAAAAAAAAGAAAAATATAATATATAAATGGGCACTATTATTGTTTCTCATCATCACGCTTGAAAACTCCAGCCAAAATACCAGCTTGGCAGAGTCGCTCCATTCCTTACTGGTGACGTAAGTGATTTGACTGCCCAGTCTCCCAGAATAGATCCCCAAACCCTGAAAGAGCTTGTGTCTGAATGCAGTCAAACATGTAATCCAAATAAACATGTATTTGCTGGAAGTGAATGAAGAGGCAGATGGTCTGAGCACGTCTCTCCTGTCTCTTCCTCTGTGTCTCTGCACCGCAAAATGGAGATATCTACATTTGCAAAAACGAAAAAGATTCAATTGTGACTTATCTCTTGTTTTGAAATATTTTTTTGTGTAGTTTTGACTATAGTTTAGATTTGTTTAGTTTGCAGAATACACTGCATCAATTAAGGCCAGAAATATGGCAAACATTGCTTTAATATTGTCTTTTATTTTGATATGATCCTAAACGATAAATTGTGTGCCTTCTGTATCATTATTATTAGTTTGAACAACCATAAACAAAAACAAAACCAGCAGCTTTAAAAAATGAAGATAAGAACAAAAAAGTGAGTGCTGATTTTAAAAAAGGTATAAAGCGTTATGTTATGAAAGATATAGAGCTCTGGACGGAATGAATTATGCATTTTTTGTTTTTTTTTATTTATATTTTGTCTCTTATATATACAGTAAGTCGTAAGTGAAATTGTAAATGCAGTCTTGTTGTTCATATGCTGCTTTTCTTTCTTGGAATTCTGTCATTATTAGGGAAGTAACAATAACTGAAATATCATGATATCGTATCATCAAAGTTCTCACTATAATGTCGTGGAACATCACAATATATCGAATTACAAGTCTCTTTGCTTAAATTAAGAGTTATGGAGCATCAATGTCTAAAAAAAGACAGAGGGAACTATATAGACCATGATCCTTTGCTCCATCTCAGTGTAGACTACATGAAGAATGGTTCTAAGCACTTTTAAGTCTTAGATCTTTGAAGTCTTGTCAAGACATTTTATGAGATAAGTAGCATATTAACAGTTTTGTTCGCAGCCTCCACAAAATATCGTAATAAATATCATACTGTGAGATGTATATCGTGAAAATATTGTACCAAGAGATTTGGATATTGTTAGATCCCTAATCGTGAGCCTCCCCACCGTATCGTGAGCTTTCCCATAATATCACAATAAATATCATACAGAAGACTTGGATATCGTTAAACCCCAAGTCCTTATTTAATAGTTTGGCATTATAAGAACTTTTTACTTCAGCCTAAACCCTTTCGGTCATGATCCATGGGGTTGTAGTCTATGTTTTGTTTTATTTTGTTTTGTAGTGCTGCAGAATGACCGAATAAAAACTACTAAATGTACATGAAATAACATATTATCATAATTCTCCTAGAAACACTCCATAAAAACTCCTAGAGATGATCACTTTGTTGGGATGTGCTCTGGGGCTGCATGATTTCGGAAAGAAAAAAAAAAAAAAAAAAGAGAGAGAGAATTGAGATTTTTTAGGCCAAGTATTGCAGTTAGATTTGCAATATTTTTTTTTTTTTTATTTTTTATATGAGTCTGTTCAGAGTGCACATACTACTCCAGGAGCAATAATATTTGAAAGTAGACTAAAACACAACATGATAATAAATTTGCACAAGAATCTCAAAAGAACTTCAGAACATGCCGCATTTAAAGACTTTAAAAACTCCCACAGCTTTGGTTTTCGATAAATTGTGCCAGAGCCGTAGTGAGCTCCATCTGCCTCCCGCTCCCATTCATCCCAAAGTCAAACAGTACAAAGATGGCGGCCCAAACGTAGTATTTACGCAACGAAGCTCCTAGCCTTCTGTCACTGCACCACCTCTAAAAATAACACGTGCTAATTATATTGTTGATTACGAACATTGATCTACAGAACCCACCGGGACAAACATACTGAAAAACATAAGCCACATGACGTAAGAAATAATTTATGAGGTGTTAAAAGTTTAATGTTGTTTCCTGGTGTGTGATTCGTTTGGAGAGGTTGATTGGCGGCTTGTTTAGGTTTGAAAATGTGATAATTCATTCAACCTTGAGGCCCGGGGTCTAGTGCAGAGGAAACAAAAGCGTCCTCTCCACAGATATTCTCCCCTGAGGCCCTGCGGACAGAGAGAAAGGGACAGAGGGTTAGAGAGAGAAAGAGAAAGAGTGAATGAAAGAGACAGAGAAAGTAAGGGAGAGAGAGGAAAAGGAAGATACAGAAAGAGAAAAAAATAGAAAGAGAAAGTAAGGGAGCGAGAGAGTGTGGAAGAGAGATACAAAGAGAAAGCGAAAGAGACAGCGAAAGAGTGAGAAAGTAAGAGAGGGAGAGAGAGAGAAAGAGACAGAGAAAGTAAGTGAAAGAGAGAGAGAGAGAGAGCTACAGAGAGAGAAAAGGAGAAAGAGAAAGTAAGGGGAGAGAGAGGGGGAGAGAAATACAAAAGAAAGAGCGAAAGGAACAGACAGAGATTGAAAAAGTAAGAGAGAGAAAGTGAGTGAGAGAGAGGGAGATACAGAGAGAGAAAAAGAGACAAGAAAGTAAGGAAGAGAGAGAGAGATACAAAGAGACAGTGAAAGAGAAAGTAAGGGAGAGAGAGGAAGAGAGAGAGATACAAAGAGAAAGTGAA